GTAATTGTAAGTAATTTTGGTACAGGCTTAAAATAGCCATGATCCCACCAGAAAAGTTGAAACCGCGATAAATATATGCGTACAAGCACACACGCGCCCTGTAATCCTGACATCTAATGTCATCCTGCACCTGTCAGCCACACACACCTCATCAGCTCACCCACTCTCACCTGCTGCACCTACTCACCTCAGTATATAAACCCCAGTCACTCACTCACTCACTCTTTGCTGAATCTTACTTCGCTGCACTTTCCTGCAGTTACAATTAATTCCCTGTTGTTAACGCTGTCTTTTTGGACTTCTCCGACCTATTAATCGGCATGGTCTTCTGTCCTCGACCGCAAGCATAACTCTGGTTCTCTGTGTGCCTTCTCCCCGGGTCCTTACCACATCTGTAACACCCACTGTAGTCTCGCCAGGTCGTCAATGAGAATATTTTCTTTTTTAATTTTCCACATTACGGGAGAGCAATTTTTAAAGAATGAACCAGATGACGGCCTCTGGTGCGTGGCGCCCAGTCAGGAGTAGCGTGATGGGTCGGTAGTATAACACGGGCAATAATCGAGCTTGTGAGAATGTCTCCGTCTCTGCCCCCGTGATAGATCCTTAAACATGCAGCAATATCCGGCCTCCCTGCAGTTGCAGTTGAATTTGAGAGTAGGCGTAGACAACGGCTTGTGACAGCGGTATAGTAACAGTGTGCTGCAGAAAAGTGACACATGTCTTGATGACAAGTGTATCGCGTTCTGGGGGGCAGAACACTGGCTTTTTTCTTATGCCTTAGGTAAAACTTAATACATCATAACCGAAAAAAAAACAATAAAAATTGGATAAATTATTTGTCAATCATCACAATGTCATCTCGGGACAATTGCGAGAACTAAGCCACCGTTTGGTTTTCATGCTGATAAACTCAACACACAAAAATGAATTACCATGGACAACGCAAGAGTGTCTCATTTCTTATTGAAAAACTGTTTGCCAGAAAAGGGATACCGCTCTTATTCAATAATCAATGTCAAGTGATATAAAAATGTCTGATCAGAAAAGGTGTTGGAGTGATTTCATTCCTGAGATGAGGTGTAACATGTTGCTGAATGTATGTAATTATTAAAGTTAGCATGCACAGATTGTTACAATGGAGGAAACAATTAAATAATCATACTGGGATGTAAACAGGAAAGAATATAGAAGTGAATCGCCTTACTCTTATCCTGCTGTCTGTCTCCCGCACTCACACACACACATAGACAGACACTAATCAACAGAGATTTACAGGTCAAGAAGTGTTTGTTGTGTTGACGAGTGTTCCAATATGGAGGGGATCAGTGTTGATTTCCTCCATCACATGCACGGTGACACACACACACACACACACACTGCAAAGTGCATGTAGCGTGAGAAAGGCTCTGCAGGGTCACTGCGTTCTGGAGGACACTCTGAGTACAGAGATCAGATCTCAGAGTGATCCCAGTAAACTCCATCGGTGGCGGGTAATCACAAAGTATCAGACACAGGCCAACAGAAAAAAATAAGCGAATGAAAAGCCGGTGTTAATGGTAAATGCAGATATATTCGTCGGCACGGTGCTATTTTAAGCTGTTCTTGAAGCAGCAGTTGCAATTCATGAGTATTAAGAACCTACCTGAGTACAAATGCCATTTGCCTCCGAACACTCTCTGTGGGGATGAATCAGCCTCTCCATAGACTCAAGCTGGTAGTCTCAAAAAATCATTTTCTGAAAATGAATTTCAGAATTCTCTTTAGGGTGTTTTTAGATATTTTGAACGGTCCTTTCTCCTTTACTCCTGGCTATATTTCACCCACCTCCACATTGAAAGGCCCCTGAGATCCACCTCCAATGCTAGCCGTCCCAAGGTTTTGGCCTGGGGGCTTTTAACCTCTTTTGCAGCGGCGGGGCTATTTGGCGGCCTAATTGGCAGACCATATCTTCTTTATCAACAATGGACTGAAAACAAAAAACAGATTGAGGCAGAAGATTCAAAACTGGAGAATCCACAATGAGCAAATTAGCATCTGTTATTTTAGCTGCACCCGCTATGCACCCGTTGTCAAATCATGAGTGGGTTTTATTTGCGTCACTTCGCATAATCGCCAGTTGATGAGAGAGAAACGAAGTACATGGACCATATTACACATGATTAGAAAAGAAAAAAAGTGTAAAATCGGTTCCATTTCAGACTCTGCAGTCTAACCTTTGCCTCTGTCTGCTCGCCGTTGGGACCGGTTATCCAGCTAACCTTTTGCCAAACTTTTCTTTGTTGCTTGCTCGTGCTTTTGAGTCAACTACAACCTCTTCCACCAAATATGTGAAATCCAAAATCCAATGAGCAAAAAACCTGTTTTGTCAAGTGTAGTTACAAGTATGCAGGTCTTGTTTGCTCTACATCTCTCTACACATAGCCTTCATACCAGAAAAACATGCAAAGAAAACTCCCATTGCAGCAGGTCTATCCCGCTTTCAACTGGATAAATCAACATTTCAAAGGACCCGACAGCACTGCTTTCTCTCACAATTCCTGTCTTCCTTGTGACTAAGAAGGTTTTTTAGATAAGTGCCATTCTGCTTCTCTAAGAGGTTTTTTTTTGAGACAGCATTTAGTTTCATGCCCCGTTTCCAGTAAAGAGATGGAGTCCCACCTGTGTACCTCAGACTGTCCGGACCCAGGTCTATTCTCCAAGGGAAACCAACCGCTGCAAGTATCTTTATGAGTGGAACTGCATAAAAAGTCCTTTGAAGTACATGTTCTTAAATTAGACCGGTTTGAACTTGAAGTAGTTCAAGTACCCCATGTATGTGTTGATGGAAGTAAATGGAATATGGAGTGTGAGGTTGGCCACAGACTCAGAGCAGCGGGGGCGGCATTGCACTTTACAGCACCAATGTGACACAACATCTGGGAAGGACGCCTCCCTGGGGAGGTTTTCCAAGCTCGGCCAGCTGGTAAGAAGCGTCCTGGTTTTTGCCTAGTTGTATCACTCATATATATTGCCATGCATTATATAGTATAGTAATTCATTCTTTTTAAGAGTGAATAGGAAAAGAATTACACACGTGCACGAGAGGCAGTCAGCTACCAGGAGCTCCATGTCTGAGCAACACCACGGTGCCTGGGATGAAGGATACGCTGTATATCTTATTGGGTTTCTATTAAAAATTTAAAAATTTAAAAAATGGTTGATGCACAATTAGGGTTTCTTCCCATATGTATCTGATAAATGTTCCCAACATATTCAAAATTAAATAATTAAATTTAATATTATTGGTTAATATTTTTTGCATTGTAACAGCCTGTTTTCCTCCATGGTTCTCCGAATGTGTGGTACACTGCAATAATCTCACAAATTTGGCCTGAGAATGATAACATCTATATTTTCTAGGACTTCAGTCGCTCCATTGAGCAGTATTCTGGATGGTTGTGATGAGCTCATAACATTTAACTTGTATGCAATCTTGTCATGGGATACCTGCATTTTCTTAAGCCTCATGTCTTGTAACTAAGATTTAGAAAAACGGAAAAATCATCATTAGTTATTATGACAGCTGTAGAAGGGTTACAGCTATATAGTGTTAAAGCTAAATCCCTGCAGTCTCCATCCCAGAGGGCTCATGGTACAAAAGGTAGTAATGCGGCGCCGTGTCCTCAATGACCGTCTTCTTGCAACCACCCATCTAAGATTTGGTTCCTTTTTTTTAAATGTCATTGATTAGCCTAACCGTTGGTAAGTGTGACATTTTAAAGCAAAACTTTAAATTCACCTTTTAAGAAATGTGGCTTCAATTTACAGAAAAAACTGTGCTTTCCTTTGCCATTTTAGCGTGTGAATTGTCAAGAATAGGACCAAAATGTAACTCAACACGTGTTCAATTGTTAACCGAGCAGCAGTTTGAGAAACTTTTGATCGTTTGAGTCTTTCAACAGTCGTGTATAAAGTCAGATCAAAAATCAACATGAGATGGGGCTCACTTAATCCTAGCGCTCTGCCGAGGACTGATAAGATGGCGCACAGTTAAATATGGTAGATTACCATATTGAGAGTCTGAGGGGAGAAAGAGAAATAGTTGTCTGAGTGAGTGTGTGTATGTGTGTGATGGTGGACCTGCAAATATGTGGGCCAGCACTATAACTAATGGCCCCAAAAATATGCGTCAGTAACAAAATGCCTCTGCTTCTCCCCTTTTGTAGCCGACAACCCTTATTTTAGATTTTCAAAACTACAGACACACAGAAACAGATAAATCCCTCAAAAGATGTTTTTCTTTTATCACTTTAATGACAGACTTGTGACAAATGACTGGAGAAGAATTTGCTTATTAAGAAGAGAAAGACATACAAGAAGGCTGAGTTTTACTTATCTGCTGTACATCATCACAGTACATTATTACAGGAAATACCAGACATTTTGATAGAGGACGAAAGCCTCTGGCGTGAGAGGAATGCAGCTGATAGACTTTCGTTTTGCGATCGCACAAGTTAAGATAACAAAAAGGTTAAACTTCAGCAGCAGTATAGAATAGCATCATACGTGCATCCATCTCAAGGGGATTCATTTCTAACACTAGGAAAAGCGATGACCTGTCGTCAAAATACAACGCATCAAACCATCCTTGGTGGTTATTATTACAGTAACATATTAAGAATGTTTTTAGTGGTTATGCAGGTACTTGTAATCTGTACAGTTGAGTTTAGACCCCGCAATAATTCCGTAATAAGTCAAATAATAGATTATGTGTGAACCAGAACCAGCCGTGAATAGTCGCCATAATGTGAACATAAGGTGTTCAGTATCAGCAGAAGGTATCGTCCTGTCTTCTGTGAATCTGTAGATGCATTCGCTTCTTGGGAAATCTAGAGAGGCAGTTATATGCTATAACATCAGCAACACGACCATTTATGTCCAGAGAAACCGATGAGCAATTTTTGGTCCGTGTAAACAACTGATTTTCAGTCATATCAACATACACGGACTTCTTCAGTGCAGCTTCACAATGTTTGACCTGATAACAAAAACATTTGATCGACAAAAGGGGCTAGGGACACCAGAGGTGCAAACCTGCAAAGTTTAACACAAAACTAAGTTGCTTGGCAATTACGTATTTGATTGTTGACTTTCCCATCATCAGTTTCCAGTAGGGTGTTGTTGCACTCACCTGTCCCAACAGCAGCGTCACTCAACCAATGACATTTTCTGTCCTCATCAACTTGAAAGCTTAGACGGCGATTTTGCCCTTTTGCTTTACTATGCTCGATGTACAGCAGCGTCTAGAAATATAGGAATAACAGACCATACCAGCACACACATGGAGTGACTTTGTTACAATAATGACAGTACATGTAGAATTGGTTGCTTCCAAGCTGGAGCTGTAGGCAGCAACACACCGCGCTGGTGTTTTCCCATCCAGGGGTTGTCTGCTCCGCTCTGTGACTTTTGACCTCTTCTCTCCTCCAGGCTCCCGGCTTGTTTGAACAGGCCGTTCCTGCTTGGCACAAAAGGCCTGACGATGGCCGCTGCAGTTTATTTAGTTTATTTAGCTCTGTCTGAAGACTGCACATGGTTTTCTTTTTTTTTTATTCCAGTGGTCAGAGCTGGCTTATTGGGGTCAAATGGCTGTTAAGATGATCTGACACATCCTGCTCTTCCTCGAGGACATTATAGGACTATAACACCCATATGAAAACGACCATATTAGACACTCGACATGCATGCACGTAAAAAAAACAAACAGTGGAAGGACAACTGTAGAATCCATGCTCATGGTTGAAGCGTTGCTCTGTTGTGGAGGAGACTTTGAACGCACCAGTAAATATGTGACGTGTGGGTGGAGCTGCAGGTTCAGAACTGCTCTTCCAGCTCTCAACCCCCCCACCAACGAACCGCCAGCAGGAAACGCATCCGAAAGCTTCTGATGTTTGCTATTTTAAAACAACAGATTCCTAACGATGCATGCATCTACCTACAGCCCTTCGGACCTTGGTTTGATGTTTCAGTTTTTGAAATAGCAGCCACAAGGGTCGAAAAACGACCACTTCGGTGGAAAGAGAGACCGACGACACACTGCTCTCTTTAAAAAAAAAAACTTACCCTAAAGTTCTCTTTATGGCGTGTTCAAAATGACTCATTTGAACTTGGGGAACGAAAGCAACTATGGGATTTATTTTGCTGAAGATCTTAATGGATCTGTTCCGGACCAATTATTTCCAAACGACAGCATCGCGACGTGCCCGAACTTCACTGTGGACTCGCAGGTCGTCGGGGTCGGAATATTTCTCTTCGTTTTTATTTCCGTGGCAATTCTTGGCAACATTTTGGTCATCCTGTCTGTCGTGTGCAATAAACATCTGCAGACTGTCACAAACTTCTTCATCGTCAACTTAGCCATGGCCGACCTGCTGTTGAGCATCATTGTGCTGCCCTTCTCTGCGTCTCTGGAAGTTCTGGGATGCTGGGTGTTCGGCCGGGTTTTCTGTAACATCTGGGCAGCGGTGGACGTGCTCTGCTGCACCGCATCCATCCTCAGCCTCTGCGTCATTTCCATCGACCGGTACATAGGTGTCAAACACTGTCTGAAATACCCGACTATCATGACGGAGAAGAAGGCCATCGCTATTTTGGGGCTGGTCTGGGTGTCGTCCGCGGTGATCTCCGTCGGACCGCTCCTGGGATGGAAGGAACCGCCGCCGGTGGACGACAGAATCTGCAGCATCACGGAGGAGCCCGGCTACGCGCTCTTCTCCTCTCTCTTCTCCTTCTACCTCCCGCTCATGGTCATTCTCATCATGTACTTTCGGGTGTACGTGGTGGCCCGCAGGACCACCAAGAGCCTGGAAGCGGGCGTCAAGCGAGAGAGAAACAAGTCGGTGGAGGTGGTGCTGCGGATCCACTGTCGCAGCAGCGTGCTGGAGGACGCGCGCCGCTCCAGCTCGAAGAGCAACAAGAACCATCCGTTCCGAAGTTCGCTGTCGGTGCGGCTGCTGAAGTTCTCCAGGGAGAAAAAGGCTGCTAAAACCCTCGCCATCGTCGTGGGGATGTTCACCTTGTGCTGGCTGCCGTTTTTCTTCGTTCTCCCCATGGGTATGTATGTATGTATGCCAGTGAATTGATGGTTCCCAAGTGCGTCTTTGGCGCTGTGTGTGCAGATGTTAGAACTTTATAGAGACTAATCTGTGGGTCAAGGATCTCGAATCAGTACGTTCTCAATGTTTCTAGTACACTAAATCCGTTCATGGAAACTTCCTTTACGATTCGACACATGGACTGATGAGAACAAATCGTTTGCAGAGATATATTTAGTCCTCATTTTATTTTAATGAGGTCACTTGTATTCATTCAATCAAGTTTATCATCATCATGCTCCTCCAGAGAAACGGGAAGATTAATCTTTGGCGTAACATACAGAAAACGACTCACGTATTTTTTTTTGATGGATGATAATTATTAGAGCAGTAATATAGAAGGACATTCTAAACTAATGACAATTTGAAAAATAAAATATCTGAACATCTTGCAGCCGTCTATTCCAAGTACCATTTCCATTGGGCTGTTTTTGTGAGACTTTAATAACACAATAAGTACCTGTGTGAATGTTCGTTTGTGATGGGTTTGTGTTTCATGATCTTTCATGCAGGGATGGGTACAGTTTAATTTCCATCCATCCATTGTCATTCCGCTTATCCTGCACACAGGGTCGCGGGGGGGGCTGGAGTCCATCCCAGCCGACTTCGGGCGATAACAGTTTAATTTGAATATTAAATTGTAGTCTATTTACATTGACAACGAGAAATGTACGTTTTAATGTTGGCAACAGACCGCATTTATTGAGGGTGTCAGGGATTGTGGGGAGGTAGAACTCAGAGTTCAAAAAACAAAAGGGACTTTAATAGTCAAAAGGCAAAATCAAAAGGCCAAGGGGCAAAAACAGCAGGCATGAAACTATGAACATCCACGACGATAGACAAGGACATGCGTGGCCAAAGACAATGACGCGACCAGTGACAACAGACACACATGGTTTAAATACACTAGGGAGGTGCAGGTGATTGGACACAGGTGGAAACTATTAGACGATCACAGGGGATGACGGGACAAGGCAGGAAGTGAAGTTACCCGGGGACACGAGTGGCAGAAAACTACAAAATACAACAGGAAGTGAACCACACCGTGACAGAGGGGATGACTCATTAATTTAGGATTATTTATATATATCAAACGGAATATGCAACATGTATATGCAGCTGCACTTTCAGAAAGTAGCCTTTATTGACAACACACACCCACACCCTTACCTTCGGTGGTCTCATTACTTTTACTTTAGCATATTGTTTATCATAATCGGTTGTGAATGCCATTATGAACTAATGGCCAATTTCCTATGAGGTATAGAATGTACCTTCATCTCATTCTCTCCGCAACTTTGGATTTATTGAGTAAAAACTAGAGCAAATCACAATCCCTTTTCATGAACATATGATGCTTTTGTAATTACATTATACAGCCTCTTTGCCTGGGAAACTGGGAGCCTTGCCATAAGACATAACTAGCTTGAAGATCATTTTAACATTTTTAATGACACATTTGGATTCTAAACTAAACCTTATCTTTATTATCATTATGACATCATGTGATTGTTAAAGTCTAGATCTCAGAGCTCCAAGGAATTTCGGGGTCGTTGCCGGAAATGTGTCCCGCCAAATCTCCTCAGACATGCTGTTCTGCAATCTGAGCCTGCACTTTGAAGTTGTTCGAATCAACAAGAGTGATACGGAATCATCCCTATGGGGTGGGGGGGCTGCGCTCTGTTTCTTACGTGACTGCTTGGCAAGTGTGGAACAGTCACCACCTACCGGTCTCAGCTTTGCTTTCCCGATAGTTGGTCAGCCAGTCAGAGATTGATGTTAGAACATTGTTGAGACATCATTAATGGAAAACCTTTCGCTGAGAGGCACGCATATGTTTAGCATCTCTAGTGCCAATTATGACCATGTTCTGTGTGATGATGCAGATCTAGGCTCAGTAATGTGACTCATTTGGAGCCCCAGAGAGTGCCCCGACACAATTTGCGTTTATTAGTGCACCAGACTCATGAATATAAAATACTGTTGAAATAATAAAAATATAAGCCTTACCAGAAGTTCTTCTATGACACAGAATATAGATTGAGTTTTTAAGTAGAAATTACTAAAATATTTAGAATTTGGTCCTTTTATTCATACATTTTTCAAGTTTCCAATCATCACGGTTTATACTTTACTGGGTATTCTATAAGGAATAATGGAAGAATACGCTTGGTCTGAAGACAATGACATATTTTGCAAATTTTAGGAATATAAAATCTGTTTTAGACAATTAAAGTCATTAAGAGCGTTAGTAAGCTCAGCATTTTCCTTGAAAGATAGAAATAATAAGACCCATTGATTCCTCCCCCATCCTAAGGTCCCGTTTGGTACAGTCCATGTCAACACCAAGTGGAGAAGGGGGCATTCATGTTGGCATGTTCATTAGACTGCCTTCCTCAACTATGAAGGGGATCCAAGAGAGAGCAATTATTTGAAATCAATACAAACAATGAACTAATAAGGCAAATGATTTAATTCTATAATTCAATAACTAACCTGTAAAATAACCTAAATGCAATAAACTAAGCAGATAACTATAGGAGCTTGTCACCTGGCAAGTATTGCATTCTATGACAGAGCCTTCCTGTGACATACTGCTTCATCATGAGGCAACCGGGCACTGTCATTCCCCCGTTGTTCCAACATACACCTCCTGCTGCTGTCAAGACAAATGCAGCAAATGTGAAGCTGAAATGAGTCTAAAAAACACAGATTGTTCTAAAACCACCTTAAAGACGCATCTTTTTAACAGAAATAAAATAAAAATTAGAGGCAGGTAGCTGGAGCTGCACAGAATATTGTTTATTCTGCAGGAAAATGTTTTATAATAGTTTTTTTCTCAGAAATGAATGTCACATTAAAGGTTTCAGTGTGTTATCAGGAATCAGGAATCAGGAAACATTTAGTGCCAAAATATGTCAAACATACAAGGAATTTGTCTTGGCGGTTGGTATTAGTAGCTGATATCAAAAGAGCATGAACCATTACTATAAAAATGAATAACATAGTTAAAAGGAAAATGGAGTGCTCGGCATGGCTAGTGTTGCCTCTGTGTGTCAGGTCAACAATTATGTTAAATCAAAGTGGAAGACAAGAAATACAAGGAAGCTATGGGTTGCAAAGGCGGCTTTTAATAAAAAGCAGAATGTCATACAAAAACTGCCCTGGCATGATTGATCGAGCAAAGCAGCTGGCGGTAGCACTGATGGTAAGCAGGAAAAAAAACGACTAGAAGTCCACAAAATCCTTCCCTTGACTACTACTAAACGACTCACCACAAAAATAATACTATGAATACCACCGCCAAATGGATAAAAATACATACTAAAAACCTTTTAGTGGAATTACATGTTAAGATTCAATCATTGAAATCAGTTATGAAATATTATACTCTGATTTAGAGTCCAGATCGACAAAAAGAAATACAGCATCCTTTAGCCCAACATCAGCATCTCTTATGTATCATAACATTTGGTGTGAATAATAGATAATAAAATGGACCTTTCTGCGCATATAAACTTCAAATGGTCTTTATTTCGAAAAATATCTTGAGAAAATGTTGAATTGTCAACAGAATAATGAAAGAAGTTCACTGTTCTCGTTTTGTGCATTTACTGTATGTTGCCCGACAAATGTTTCTTTTGGCTCCATTTCCTTTTTTAGGTGCCCTTTTTCCAGCATTGAAGCCATCAGAAACTCTGTTTAAGGTAGTCTTCTGGCTGGGCTACTTCAACAGCTGCATCAACCCTATGATCTACCCCTGCTCCAGCAAAGAGTTCCAGCGTGCCTTCACTCGACTGCTCAGGTGCCAGTGTCGGCAGAGACAGAAGGTCCTGCATCGCTTCTATGACCACAGGTGGCGGGCGGCCGTCAAGGGAAAGACAAGGGATCAGAGGGGAGACTGTAAGCCTGGCCATTTAGCGCACAAAACCTGTGGCGAGTCTCCGTTTCGCAAGGGAAAAGGGCCCTCGCTGGGTTTCAAGAGATGGAGTCTGTTTCCACCTCTGCAAAAATCTTCTTTTCAGCTGAAAGAGAAAGTGAACAATCTGTCAAATAAAATCAAGGGGGGGCCAGGAAAAGGAACCAAACCTCCGGTGGGTCGGATGGATATAGTAGACACAGTCTCTTTGGGGATTTACAACTCTTGTGAGCAGAGCAGTTATCAGTTGTATGATCTGGCAGACTGCTATGGTCTTAAAGAGACTGACATTTAGAGTAAATAGTTCTTTCATTTTAAGAAAGCCACATTGCACCGACATAGGGAATCCTTTTCTTTTCACAAAACATCTGCAAATCCAAGCTTGATTAAAGCTGCAGACTGAAAAAACAATAGCTTGATCCCACCACAAACAGGACTGAACCTGTATGTCAATCCATCGCTGACATGTTTATAGAGATTGACATTCTTGCCATTTAAGTCGAAACAGTGGTAGCCAACTTCTGTAATTGCTCTCTTGGAAGCATTGTGCATCATCATTACCCGACCTAGTTGACATGCGTATGCCCTTTTTGCAAGACCTTTGACATTAGCCTTATTATTACCTCATTTTTAAATGACACAATTTTTTGGAGAGGCAATAACATACAACTGTAAGGATTGAAGCAAGATTTAGTAACAAATGTTTTTGCCTGTCTGCATTTAATTCAATGTGTGAAATTGAACTATATTTCATCCACTTATGGGGTTTTGACAAAGCATTATAAAGGTAGGAGTCTGCCTGTGAAGTAGGATGCTGCACAGTATTTATTGTAACTGTTGGATTAACACATTCAGTTTGCATTGATATATTGTGTTATCTTATTAGATCAAAAAATAACATGTGTTCAGTAGCCTACTTAACTGTACTTTGTCTGCAAAGTTATTGCTAATGTGAGATAAACAAGATTTTGTTAGAGATACTTTCTGATGTATGTTTGTTAATGTAAGATATAAATGAGAAATTAAAAAAAGTAAAACAAGTTGAGCCAGAGCTTTTTAAAATGTATTTATTTATCTGCCTCACCCAGGAGATGTCACTAGTGTTGCTTGTTTCAACACCCAACACTTTTTAAATTTATTAAGTTTTAGGAATTCAAAGAGGCACCAACAGTCTTATTCGTTCACATAAAGCTTTAGCTGCAGGCAATACAAAAGAGGGAGAGGGAAAAAGTTAGTAAAACCATGTTCCGGATATACGTCACTTTTCTGTCACTAAAAAGAAAACACTGGAAACAACACCATAAAAGATACAGTATTTTTAAACTGTACTGATACAATGGACTAAATCCCACTGAAATGGGTTGTAACTCTTTTGAGGTTTGCACAGTTACGCGGCGCTAAATAGCGGTTAAAAAAAAAGCCACCACATCCACCAAATCTGTATGACAACACTGGCATTAATTTAAAAATAAACACTTAAACTATGTTATACAGCTGATAAACGGACTGCAGATAACGCTAGGTTTATTATGTGACAAATCTGTCTGGTCCTTGACTCTATTTTGAGTTTCCTTATTCTGCAGGATTAGATTATGAGTTAATAAGTAGGCAATATTGTAGAGTAGAACTGAGTTTTCCTGGGAGGACGATATGGATCCACTGGGCTGAATCTCAAAAGATAAAGATTATAACTGTAGTTACACTGAATGAGGTTTGGGAAAAATATGGAGCAAGACGTATTCTGAAAAAGGAGTGAGAAGGAGCTTGTCGCAAAAAAACTTAACTAGCATAAACTTTGTGAATGTTTATATAGTACTAAAACATGTTTTTTAAGTTGTCTTTAAATCTGAAGCTATGGTGTATTATTTCAATAAAATATGTATTAATAAGATAAAAGCAAACTGAGAGCAAACCTACACAACCTGCTGTTTTGTAACATCTTGAGGTCTATTATTACTCTGATATTTTCAGTGTGGCGAAACTGTGCTGCTACTCCTGAATTCAATCTCTCCTCTCTCAGAAAGAAATCCTTTCAGAAGAACAATACAAATACAACCTCATTTCATTTCTCTATGTAAACTCAGAAACAGCAATTCGCAAGCATGTCTGGAAAAAGCAATCCTGTCTTGGAGTTTACGAACCTATTAAATCGTAAATCGTAAATTGCTTTGGATGAAAGCGCCAGCTAAATGACATGTACTGAGGCAATGTAATGTAACACTGCTTACAAAACTGGCAATAATATTATAGTCATGCTACTCAGTACTAATTGTTTGTCTCATGCAAATCATACATACTCCATCATTTTATAGTTCAAAAAAAGATACAAACAATTAAATAACATTTGATCACGATGATTATAGAAACATGCTTAATGATGCTGCCCTTATAAATCATTAAAATAATGAGTTTTTAAAATATGCCAGACTTTATTGTAAGTTAATGCACATGAATGATTCTACCTAGAGATAGTTGGACGCAGTCTCAGGTAACGGATATTTCTTATAATCTGAATACAATTCTTCCTGATTAAAAATAATGTTCACAATGATTTCAAAATAATAACATTGTCCGTTCACTAGTCTTTGCATCTGTACATTTTGAGTAGGCATACAACCTCTATTCTAAGGTTGATCTGAATGCTCATTTGCCTCTTTCCTCGTGTGCGACAGCTCCATCCCAGGGGAGGTTCCAGGTAGGCACACTCTGCAGCCCATGAACATAAGGAATGCCCTACGGAAGGAACGGTTGAAGAACCCATACAGGAAGGGATTCAGAGATGAGTTGATATATCCCAGCCACAAAAATGTATCCCAGACAACCACCTCTGTAGTGTATTCAATAAATGGGTCCACAATGTTGACTGTAAAAAAGGGCATCCAGAAGATTAGAAATACTCCCATGATGATGCCCAACGTTTTTGCTGCCTTTCTTTCTCTCTTCATCGCGTTTCGGTGTCTTTGTTTCTTGCTCGAGTCTTTGCCGACTCCGGCAGCCATCTGGCTTTCCATGGCGCTGATCTGTACAGCTTGCCGTTTGGCAGCCTTGAAGATCTTCCAGTAGGCTATTAGCATAATAGCCATCGGCAAGTAAAAGGCTACCAAAGAAGCCATGACGGCATAAATGCGATTGACCAAAAACACACATACATCTCCAGGAAGCGGGATGTCCACCCCGGCAATATGAAGATCTAGCATTATGGGGCCAAAGGAGATGAGCGTAGGAACGGCCCAACATATAACAATGAGGAGAGCTACCCGGCCGCGGGTAATCTTGAGCGAGTAAAGTAGCGGGTTGCAAACCGCATAGTAGCGGTCAAAGGCGATGCAACTGAGATGGAAAATAGAGGCAGTGCAGAGCATGACATCTAGGCTAGAGTGAAGCTGACAAAGTAGGACACCGAAGTACCAGCATCCCTCCATGGTTCGGATCATGCTATACGGCATCACTAACAGGCCAACAAGGCAGTCAGCCACGGCCAGGGACATGACGAAGGAGTTTGTGGGTGACTGCAACTGCTTGAAATAGGCGATGGACAACACCACGAGGCAGTTTCCCACGACAGTGCAGACGATACCCACAGAGAGGAAGGCATAGAGGAAAATGCGAGAGACCTGGTTCCTCAATGTGAGGCAGGAATAAAGTTCGTTCTGGAGAGAAGTGTTACCTTCTCCGAGCAAATCCAAACTGATGTTTTCCATGGTCAAATTTACAGGCCTGTCAAAATACACAGATACGGTGAGAAAATGTTTTTGTCACACTCCTCCATACATCAACAGAGAAAAAACACCCAAGCACCCAAATGCTGCTTTATGGAAACTCTTCATTTGTTAATCTCTAAACTGTAATCTTAGGTTCGACATATTATAAAAGACAATAGGCATTAGGTGTAATTGGCTGATCTAAAATGCCATCTCTTTGCTAGGCTCGCGGAGCAAAACCAGATGTTCTTTTTATTATCTCAGACATACATTTAATAAGGAAATTGATAAACGTTGCCTTCTGAACCAACCAAACTTTGATATCACAGATATCACATTTAATTGCAAACTCTTCAAGGGATTTGAACCCAGGATGTTATAAACATCTAACTAAATTAAGTTCTTTGAGAATTTTAGCGCAAAGCCATGTCATTTCTTAATGTCAAGTTTATAAAAGTAATTTGGTGAATACAAATATTTGCCTCGTGAAATTGAAAATGAGATATCAAAGATAATTTGGTCACAAATATTAAGTGGTTAGATCTTTTGCAATAAACAAAGACGAACAGCTCCGGTGCTAAAGCGTGGGTAAAAAAAGTAAGCATTTAATATTTTTTTAGAATGAAGATAAAAGCCTATGGTTTGTCTATTATAAATCAACAGATCATGGACTACTGTAATCAATGACACTCACCTATACAGCAGAGAGATGATCTGCCTTCCTCACGTCAGTATCATACTGCAATTTTTACACAGAGACAGTAGGAATGGGCTGGGAAGCGGGCTGTTGTGAACGCATGCAACAATAATCACAGTGACAAAATACCTGTTGCCAACCAGCGTGAACAATTAGGTTGTTCCCAAAAGACAGGAAACTATTTTTTGACACAAAAACAATGTAAGAAAATACCCCCATCCTTAAAACCATTTGTAGAGCCATGAAAGGAACTCATCAGGCTGTGAATAAACTACGTCATTTACAGAAAAACGCACAATTCATATTCTCCAGAGATGACTGTAGACATCCTGAATGTTGATGCTCTCTGTCAAAACAACTGGGTGTTTTTAGCTTAGTCTAATAAGTCACAGTACATAAACTGCACACTTCTTCCTTCATTTGCAATTCACAATGCTATTGGATATATATTGTGTCCCCCTTAGTCTTTTATTTGTTGGGGATGGCAATTAAAATGTTGTACATGATCAAGAACGTACTTCCATTTGCTTACTAATTAAAAATAAATGACATGTAAAAAATCATTTTCGAAGCATTTGGTGGTAATTAATGGTTATTTTAATAACATAAAATTAAAACACATGTAACATAAAATGGTGGAAAAGCTGTCTCAATCTTTGAAAAATAATACACATATTTTTAACAAATGACACTGCTTTGATAGATTTCATTATGCATTATTTTTATGTCTTTTGTTACATACATTACATGTCTATAGCTGACACTTTTATCCAAAGTGACTTATAATTACTGCATTTCAACCATAAGTATACAAACTCAGAAGAACAAGAAACAAGAGAGTGCAATTTCATGAAGTAACCCGATTTACAACTTGCTATAGACGAGAGCAATTAGCCATTATAATTTTTAGTCAAGATGCATTTTAGTAATTGTTGATATTGATAATACCCATATTTATAAACCTGTGTGTTGGAAACATACAGAATGTACCAGTATTCAATTTGAAGAGTTAAGCAAGTACAATCAATACATATTCTATATTTTAGAATAATAGGTGGACACTTTCAAACTTTCATCTACCTTTCCACTTACGCAATATTCTCACATGGCAAATGTGGTGTCGTTAAAGTAATCAACCTTAAACAACATGTTTATGCTGGGATGCATCGTCTTTATAATTACTGGTCTCTGGTCTCTCGTAATTAGACTTCACCATCAACATTATATTAGTCCACACTCTTTTTATGAAATTATAACACATGTAATTCCAGCATAATATCATGGAAAAACTGCCTCAATCTTTGACAAATAATACACATCTTTTTACCAAATGACGCTGCTTTGATAGATTTCATTATGCATTATTTGAATGTTACCTTCAGTGTCTGTTACAGGGTGACTAGCATCTGTGCTACAGCCAGCAGTGTAAGTGAAAAGACTGCCAGTGAGCCCATTGTGGCCATGGGGGGGCTGCCTGAAGTTGATGTGGACTCTGAAATATTAGAAAAAACAGAGACTTTAGTGATTTTAAGGCAATAAAATACCTTCACAACGTCAATATTAGCTCAAAAGGAAGCTGGATACCGAAACTTCAGCCCTGTTACTTTTGTATTCAAAAAAACAAAAAACAAATAGGAGTTACAAATATAAAATTGTTATATGCATTCATTAATATGAAGTCAATGTCAGTTTAGCTATAACTTTATAGTTTCATTGTTGTTTATTGTTACACTGTCTACTGTCACGCACCAACCGCCAAGACAAATTCCTTGTATGTTTGACATATTTTGGCAATAAATGTTTCCTGATTCCTGATTTTACTTTTATCATTTTACGTTACAACTTACGTGCAGAAATGCTGCCGGGTACGATGCCGAGGGAAGAATTGGAGAGCAAACTGATGAATTGTGCAGTCGCAGTGCTTGCTTGAGGAACTGAGCTCTTATCTTGGAACACAAGTGTGGTGTCAACCTTTACTGATCCACTCCTATAGAGACAGAAAGCCGTACTTTATAAAAAAAAAAACAAGTAGCGTATAGAAAAGTATTCAGTGATTGAACTGTATCCTTACGTGAAATTGTTAATGAGGGTGCGTCTGAAAGACGATGCATAGATAATCCTGGCCACTCGGTTAATCTGAAAAACAATTTGCAATTAAAAAAAATTAAACCCTGGTTGCGAGCACAGATGCACAATTTCCCCAGCTGCTTGGTAAATCACGGACGTTGCTATGATAATTTTGGGGACATGTGGAACATAAAGGAATTGTGAACAGAAAAATAAACCCTTCCAAAATAATGCAATAATCACTGTGTAAATGATAATGTTTATGATTAATTCTTAAAACATGGATCGTTCATACCACCTTTAAATACAGCAACAGCTCCATGAGCTAAATCCCAGCTGAGATTTACATAATCAACAAAATATATTATATATTAAAATATATTATTTGCATGCCTATTTTAATGCTTCTGTTTCTTATGATATGCATTGATAAGTATTGTAACAATACAATCTCAATTGATTTGCATGCACTGTTTTACAACAAATATATCTTACCTCTTGGATGACTTCAGCAGCCAACGTCTTAAACGCTGCTGAGGATCGGTTTGACAGGTCGGATGTGAATGTTCGGTTGAGACTCAACAGAAGGCGAAGGGTTCCCTCACTGGATGTTGGGGGATCAGTGGATGCAGGGGCCTCTGTAGCAACAGGAGCTGCAGTTGGGGCCGCTGTGGCATTGGTGACACCAGTTGGGGCCGCTGTTATATTGACAGATGTAGGTACAGCTGTTGATATAGAAAGTAAGGTGAAGCAGTTTTGGAAGCAGTAACATAAAACATGAAAAAACTAAACATAAACTTCTCTTACTTGCAACAATGGTTGACACATTCACTGGCAGCGAGAAGTTAGAGCTATTGGACGCTGCCTCCGCCAGAGAGGTTTGCACAGCACTAACTTCAGGCACTGAGGTGGCATTGGCAAAAATCAGCTCAGAGTCTACCACCACTGAACCTTGTCTGTAAGAGAAATAATCATTATTTGTAAAAGAAAAAACTTGGTATCAAAGATTAATATTTTTGAAATTACACTAATGGGACACACTGTACATTATTTTCCTTCTTGAATGTTTGATGAAGAAGCATGTCAAATACCTGAAAGCGCGTATCAAAGATCGAAGGAATCTTCTCCCAAATCTGGATCTATAGATGTTATCAAGCTGAGGAGATGATACGTACAAATGGTTAAACAACATCTCAACATTAGGACAGAGGTTTTGCAGGGATTTGCTGTAACCAAACTATTATGTAGTTTGAGTTGTTAATACCCCTTTTCATATCAAAACTGGTGAGTACATCTTTAGATCTGGAGAGAAGGTATAATAAGGAAATTCAGTTTACTTACTGCGGTTGTTACTCTGTTTGCTAAATCTTTGAACTTTTGAGTAGTTGTATCGGCAAGTTCTGGTTCAAAAGTTTGGATCAGGCTAAATCTCAGCTGTATCGTTGAGTCTGGTGCTGGAGCATCTGTGATAGTCGCTAGAGAACCAGTTGTGATGTTTGGTGATGTTCCATTCACTAGTGGAGAGGTGGCATTTTCTGGAAGTATGTCAGAAATAAACTGGTTATGACGTGTGCAAATTAAGGAAAATCACATGACTTTGTGCAAACCTTTTAGAACTATTCAACTTGAAGATAGTTCTCATTCATAATATAATGTAAACGTGGGTGACTTTGTTGCATTTCTTAGAAACACATTCAATATTATCCATCACCAAAATTGTACAAGTTTGAGTGGGGGGTTTATATATGTTTTAATAAAATGAAACAACGATTATTGAGGGTTGGAGACTTTGTTACCTGATGGTGACCTGGTGGACATTGTGGTCATGTTGACTCCTGGTGAGGTCATGTTGAATGCTGTTGGGGCTACTGTGGCATTAGTTGCCCCAGTTGGGCCGTCTGTTACATTGACAGGTGTAGGTACATCTGTTGATGTAGAAGGTAAGGTAAAACAAAGTTGATCTGGTTGTAGAATTTGAAGCAGCTTTGGAAGCAGTAACATAAAACATGAAAAAACTAAACATAAACTTCTCTTACTTGCAACAATGGTTGACACATTCACTGGCAGCGAGAAGTTAGAGCTATTGGACGCTGCCTCCGCCAGAGAGGTTTGCACAGCACTAACTTCAGGCACTGAGGTGGCATTGGCAAAAATCAGCTCAGAGTCTACCACCACTGAACCTTGTCTGTAAGAGAAATAATCATTATTTGTAAAAGAAAAAACTTAGTATCAAAGGTTAATATGTTTGAGATGACACTAATAGGACACACTGTACATTATTTTCCTTCTTGAATGTTTGATGAAGAATCATGTGAAATACCTGAAAGCGCGTATCAAAGATCGAAGGAATCCTTTCCCAAATCTGGATCTATAGATGTTATCAAGCTGAGGAGATGATACATACAAATGGTTAAACAACATCTCAAAATTGAGACAGAGGTTTTGCAAGGATTTGCTATAACCAAACTATTATATAGTTTAAGTTGTTAATACTCCTTTTCATATCAAAACTGGTGAGTCCTAGATCATAGATTCACTAAAACATGGCTACAGTATTGATAGTTCTGCTTCCCGTATATGGATATTCTGTCACGGTGTGGTTCACTTCCTGTTGTATTTTGTAGTTTTCTGCCACTCGTGTCCCCGGGTAACTTCACTTCCTGCCTTGTCCCGTCATCCCCTGTGATAGTCTAATAGTTTCCACCTGTGTCCAATCACCTGCACCTCCCTTGTGTATTTAAGCCGTGTGTCTCTTGTGTCACTTGTCGCGTCATTGTCTATCGTCGTGGATGTCCGTAGTTTCATGCCTGCTGTTCTTCCCCTGGTTCCTGTGTTTTTTGGCCTTTTGACTATTAAAGTCTTTTTGTTTTCAAGAAGTCTGCATTTGAGTCTTGCCTCCTCCCCCACGCATCCCTGACATATTCAAGCTCCTTGTTTTTGATTTAGATCTAATAATAAGGAAATAATAATAAGGAAATTCAGTTTACTTACTGCGGCTGTTACTCTGTTTGCTAAATCTTTGAACTTTTGAGTAGTTGTATCGGCAAGTTCTGGTTGAAAAGTTTCGATCAGGCTAAATCTCAGCTGTATCGCTGAGTCTGGTGCTGGAGCAGCTGTGGTTGTCGCTAGAGAACCAGTTGTGATGTTTGGTGATGTTCCATTCACTAGTGGAGAGGTGGTATTTTCTGGAAGTATATCAGAAATAAACTGGTTATGACGTGTGCAAATTAAGGAAAATCACATGACTTTGTGCAAACCTTTCAGAATTATTCAACTTGAAGATAGTGCTCATTCATAATATAATGTAAACGTGGGTGACTTTGTTGCATTTCTTAGAAATACATTCAATATTATCCATCACCAAAATTGTACAAGTTTGAGTGGGGGTTTATATATGTTTTAATAAAATTAAACAACGATTATTGAGGGTTGGAGACTTTGTTACCTGAAGGTGACCTTGTGGACATTGTGGTCATGTTGACTGCTGGTGAGGTCATGTTGACTTGTGGTGAGGTCATATTCATTGGTGGTGAGGTCAAGTTGACTGCTGGTGAGGTCAAGTTGACTGCTGGTGAGGTCAAGTTGACTGCTGGTGAGGTCAAGTTGACTGCTGGTGAGGTCATGTTGACTGCTGGTGAGGTCATGTTGACTGCTGGTGAGGTCATGTTGAATGCTGTAGGGGCTGCTGTGGCATTAGTTGCCCCAGTTGGGGCGTCTGTTACATTGACAGGTATAGGTACATCTGTTGATGTAGAAAGTAAGGTAAAACAAAGTTGATCTGGTTGTAGAATTTGCAGCAGCTTTGGAAGCAGTAACATAAAACATGAAAAAAAATAAGGGTGTATTGAGGGTTGGAGACTGTTACCTGATGGTGACATGGTGGACATTGTGGTCATGTTAACGCCTGGTGAGGTCATGTTGACCGCAGTTGCGGTCACTGTAGCATTAAGTGCAGCAGTTGTATTTTCTGCTGACATCATTCCATCTGATTAAAAATCAAACTTTAATTCAGTCAAATTGAAAATCTATATTATATTCATTTTAAAGTTTTATTTATTCAAAATTATTTTATTCCAGTCTCGCTGAATCTCTGCAACATTACAATGTTAATCTCATACTCTCTCCGCTTCTTTCTTTCACGCTTTCTCCCGTTCCATCACATACAGAACTGTGGCTTCTTCATTTAATTGTGTTTTTTCTTTTCTTCCTTTCATGTGTATTTGTAAAGTTTCCTTGTTTTTCCCTATAACTTCACATACAAATAGACCCTGTGATTTCCACTCAAACTCTATGCTTTTACTGAGATGTTTTGTTGCTTTCACAGATTTCCTTCTCACACTCATCCTGCTTTATTCTTGTGAAACATCTGCTCTCCGGTTTCTCCTCTGCTTTTAGATATTTTTGTGCACAAAAGTAAATAGGATAATAATAATAATAACGAACAATAAACAATAATGCACTACAAATGAAAAACTGTGCTGCTGACTAGAGATGGAACAAAAAAAATCCACACAAACACACACACACAAAACAAGCATGCAATGTAACAAATACCTGCCAGCAGTAGAATAATTATTAGAGGTCCCATCATTCTTTTTTCTGATCCCTATGAAATAAAAAAGAACACATTGCAAATACATGGTGAATAAGGTTTAGCGTACAGACCAGATATGCTGCAATTCTACGATCCAATATTGAGAGATAGTAGAAGTTTTTTTAGGCTTTGATTTAACTAAAAGGCCAGTTTAATCAGAGTTAGAAGTGCTGTGAATTTCATTGTAATTCAAAGAGAAGTCTGTAGTATTTGGTCATTCTATTGATTTCAATAAGAAGCATCCATGTTGGAAACATCTCTTTGGGTGACAGATACAATTCAACAGCACAACACGTAACAAGTAGAGAAGGGACTATATAGACTAATTAACACATCTATTAGGACTGTTCCAAATAAAACTTCATCGCAAGGCTGCACCCAATAAGGTGGAAACAAAGCTATTTGACGAAATTACTTAGGTGTTGTCTTCCTCTGTGTGGCAATGACTCACTTAAACTCATCCTCATAAGCTAGCGACAATCACGTGAGTGACTAATGCATAATTCTGGACGGACAAGCTTGAGAAACTTCCTCACTCTGTCATATGGTGTCACAACCTGCTGGTCAAGATTCAAGCAGAAACTGCATGCTCCGCCTAAAAGACTACCAAAGACATTCTTTCAAAACTGAAGCTCTATTCAAGCGCAGCATGAAGTAAAATGTGATCCACCTGTTTCTTAAAGGAAATCATTTATTTGACCACTGATCAGTTCATGAGGCATATATTTTAATTGTCTTTGTGGAGTCTTTCTGCTATTATCAGTCAAACACCAGATTTTTGATACCAGACATTATCTTCTCTTTTATCTTGATGAATTATTTGACTCCTCAGACCTCCTAATGCTTCGGTTTTAGCCCTAAGCAATGATACTGAACTGTATAAGTGTTATGCATGTTGTTTATTACTTTACTTTTATTTTATTCGAAAAAGAAGCATTTTTGTTGTTATTAATTCATTCTTATTCTTACCATTTCATGAGATAAATATTTAAATGTGTTTGTCAAATATAGCAATTATTTTACAAGAGTTGTATTAATTGAATTGAAATTACAATTATACAATTTAAGCGTTTAAAGCAAAGGACCGCCTGCTCTTTGTATTAAAAGCTGAACTAGTCAAAAGTTGAGACATTTTCTCTATCAGTTTAATGAGAAACCGTGTCCAAACGTTTGTTTGCAGCCACACCCTAACAAATCGAGCAGCAAAAAATTTGTGTTTAGTATAGAGGCTGCTATTAAATGTTTAACTATTACAGCCTTTAGAATCACAAGAGATACTTTTGATAATAATTTTGATGCTATGATACATTAGAAATCAAAGTGTTTCCAAACAAATACCTAAAAAGTTTGAGTCAATGAAAATGAGTGAATTAAAAGCGTTAAACATGTTAAAGAAATCTTAAGAATTTCTTTGATTCTGAGCACAATCACAAATGTCACAAAGAGAAAACAACCAAATCAAAAGTACATCAGTATTCATGCATACATTTACCATTGAAACAACTAAAGCTACATTTATGGATCACTTTTTAAAAGTCAAACGGACACTAATTTCTTATTATGGACATGTTAAATGTCCATCTATGTCAATATAAAAATTTGATTTCTTACCATGGTGGAGGCCAACTGTGCAACAATTCTTCAAGCAATGGTATGAGCCGACACAAAGAAGGTGGCGGACTCCTCGGAGACGTGAATATGTGAATATGTGAATACGGAAGTGAAGGCTTCACAGTGTCTGAGGGTTGTGTGGAAAATGCTAGGATTTTCTTCTTTAAAAACCTGTGACATATCTTGAACAACTTGTTCTGCTTGTTATGCAGGTGGGAGGTGGGGAAGTTGAGAGATTTGAATACAATGCAATGAAAGCATTGTGTCTTTTTTCAACATCAAAAAAGGTGCGTCAGTACAGTCGTTCTCCTGTGCCATGACTGAATTCTGGCATCGGGTTGTGTAGAGAGCTGAGCTGCACACCCGATTTCATCTAAAAGCTCAGTAACTCTTTCAAAATGGATAAATGAATATGAAAGGAAGAAAACGTCAGCTTCACTTTTAACATGCTATCATCTGCACTTTAAATGAAGTTCACTGTTATAATGAAGAGAAAGATACATCGATACGCAGATAGAAATACAACCCCTCTCGAACAACGCAAACACAGGTAATTTTACAAAAAAATCTTTTGGAGGGTATCAAAGAAGCAACATTGTGGTCATACCAAGTTTTAAAAGTGGTCAAACAGGTTGTTACCGTCGACATCTCATTACATCTTTAAGTCAGAGAGAGAGTAACCTATTCTGTTATTTCTTCAGCCGAAGACCATTCCTTAAACATTAATATTAAAAAGGTGCACATGTGTCTGGCAGCTGGGTCTGCAACTACCACAGCTAGAATGTTTGAATGCACAGTGCTGGTGTAGGCATCACTAACTAGGGAATTGATACACAATAAAAAGACATGGAATAGCTTTGATGCAGTCTGTTTGTGTTTTTCCTTTAACACACGGTCAAAGAGAATAAAAGCTGTTGATCCAATTCTACCAAGTCATCCGCCCCTGTGTCACCGTCTGCAGAGTAGCAGATGGGGATTAG